TTGCTGCAGCCTAGGAATAAATTATCAGATTGATTAGGTGTGAAAATGATGATTTGGCCATGATGAACGATGATCAATACGCAGGAAAATTAGCAGAGTAGTGAAATTTGACCCATCACACAGGGTGTGGTTATTGCTGTTGGAAATTGTTTTCTTAAGAACTAATAGGCGACGCAGGAGGAAAACACGCCGTCTTATTGAAATTGCTTCGATAAGTAAACCGAAGCTCAGGGGTAATTTGAAAATTGATATTTGCCAATTGATTTCTCCATCGTTGCGTTCCCACATGAGACAGATCACATCTGAAGGTCTTTAGGCTTTTTAATTTGACTTTGATTAAAAGTAGATGTAATCAAACTTTTCAGGAGTTTCGCCTCGGTCCACTGAATCATTGCTGAATCATAACGAGGAAGTGTTGGTTTCATTTCATTATTTCATTTTTATAGTTTAGCATCACATATTAATATGTTCAATTAACAGTAATAATAAAAATTCTTATAACAATGATAATACTAGCTACTAACACTACTAATTCTTATGATTGTAATAAAAAGTGGTAATAATATTTGTATTAATAATATTGTGTTTTAAAAGATTAAAACAACTGTATAAAACAATAATAAAATAAATAATATAATAATAAAAGTAAAATTATTTTCATACATGCTTCGTATTTATCAATACCCAAGTATTATTGTCCGTAGTATTTATTGGAGGTACTTCTGTTTACTCAGTCAGGTATTATTGTATTTGTTTTACTTTACTTTCTTCATTTCTGGGGTATTTATGAACTGGAATGTTTGCTTTTAGGTTTTCATTTTTTATTCTTGTTTAAATATTTAACAATTTCACTGACATTATTATATTAATTTACCTGTTTCTTTGAATTGTGTTAGATTGATGTCAGTCCTAACATGGCCAACAATAATAATTCTGGTCTATTATTAGTCATGTTGTTGCTGTTGTTGTGAGTAGTAGACAAAAATACAGTACATGACAGAACGTCGACTGCAGCAAACATCCACAGTTTATTATGTAAAATCAGGTTAAATGATGGGTGAAGGACCGACATGCCAGCTGACAACTCATTAGCATCACAGCTAACTATTTCATACTTCTTACCAACTGACAACCAGTCAGCAGGATATTAGCAGGAAGGAGTTTCAGGACCACACACGTAATGCACAGCAGATGCTGTCAGGGGCAAAATCATGTGTTTCCTTTAATCAGGCCCCAAACTCCAGCATATAGCCATCCATCAGCTCCATTTTTAGGTGGAGTGAGACATCCTTCTCTCACTGGAAAGCTATTCTCGTCCATGCCATATGAGCAATGAGTCAGTGAATACCCTGAGACATGTCAGCCAGCCGTCTCATAGCGCCTTTTCCCCTTCCCCAAGCATATAACTAATCAGGTAGGAAACTAACTGCGGCGTTCTCCAACATGAACTCAACCTCTTACAGGGTGGACTGATACAGACGACCAGTTCCACAGATTAGGAGGACTGAATTGAGCTGCCCGCTCCAGTCGCTCGTTGAAAATGCACAGAGCCGGAGTTATTCTTTGAAGGGAAGAGTAGGAGGAAGGATGTGTTAACATATGACCGAGTGCTTTGGGTGGACGAGGAAGATGGGAAGGCATCTGGCCTCATTATTTCAATGCTGGAGAGAAATGTCTAGGGCAGGAAAAAGGCTTTTGAATTAGGTTAAACTGGAAACACAAAGCGGGGTTGAGACGACTGGAGCTGCGTGAAGCATTGCAGCATTAGGAAATGTGGTATTTCAACTCAACAGCTTGCTTTCAGTGTAGCTTTATAAAATTAGCCAACCACTGAAGGTTGTTTTCTTTTTTTTTTTCTTTTTTTCACAGTCACTGACAATTTATTTGTGCAGTGAGATTGTTGTCTCTGTAAGCACAATAAATACTGCTTCCTGCCTTTACCTTGCAACACATAAATACCCTAATAGAGGACTTGCAGACTAGCAAATTGCAAACTCCTAAGGAAAGGGTTTTGCACGGCACAGTAGAAGCTATTTATCGCACATGTGTTGGAATGATTCCTTTTATATCCTTTAATGGTGGCAACTCCAGAGCCATGAATAGTTACAGTACTGACTGATTGCCTACTTGTCCTTACGTTTAAATATGATCACAGGCCGTGTCTAAATCACCAAATGTTAATTTTGTTTGGCTGAGGTTTAAACGTAAGCTGACAGTTTTTATTATAACTATGCTGAATTACATGGTACGTTTTTTTTTTTCTAAAGGATTATTTTTCTCTAAACTGAACATTTACCGGGAAATTTTCCAAATAAAACAACACAGCGGCGTTCGACTGAAGCTAATCACTGCCATCCACGAGGACGCTGTTCTTTTCCTGTGCATCAAAAACAAGTGAAATGAATCAGCGACCTAATTAAGAGAGGACAGATAGACTAACTGTCAGCAGATTGCTTGATTGCTGCTGTGGCACATTATGCAGCTTCAGGTGCTTCAGTGACATCAGCGCTGTGTGATTAGTGGAAAGGGAACAGCTGAGGGACACAACCTGCTCTTTGAACCAACTTTGTTAAGTCAGAGCAATACTTAATACTGTTGTTTATTCAAATACTGGGCCTTTGTCTCACATGATCTGTTGTTGAGGCAGACGATGACAAGTGGATTTTAAATCCATATGATAATGAAAATATTTATATATTTTTCTTATTTGTGTATTTGAAGGAAGAGTGTCCGGCTGCTGGGTGCAATTGCTAATTTTATCATTTAAAATAAGCTTAAACCTGCAACAACCAATATATTTAGCTCTGGAGATCAACCATCATCCACTGAATATAAGAAATACATGTCATGATTGACACCTTAGACCAGTAGTTCCCAAATTCCCCATTTCTGGTTAACTCAGGGACATTTTTTTTTCCTTTTCTTAGAATTAGTTATGGACCAGGTTTGTCACACTGTGTGGGAAACGCTGTGAAATTATCACATCTTACACTGAGCACAGAGAAGATTTGAAAGATGGAAAGTTTGTAATTTCTTGGTTTTTTTTATCAATTTCTAGACATTTCAAGGGACTGAAGACCAGGTGACACCAGGTGAGGTCGCAACCCAACGCTTGAAAAACACAGCCTTAGACAAAGCAAACTCTCTGTACACAACTAAAACTACATTGTCATTTTTTCCTGACTTCCAACTGAACAGATGTTTCAATGTGTCCTTTAAAAAGGACTGAACCATTAGGATTACCAATACAGTGACAGATCATATACAGATCCCTGAATATTTTAATGGAGAAATTGCAGATTACTAAAACACAAACCTTCTAATGTCACATGATGGTTGCCGACACAAAACCTCCTACAAATTTTAAGACTTTTACCAGTTAATTTTTCCCTCTCCCTCATATGTTTTATTTTGTAATTTTGAATTTGTAATGTATAAAACAGCCACTAGCGCTTCAGTGTGAATTACATTATTGACACTGACTTGTTTGCAATGAACAGAGTAGAGAAGAAAAAGAGAAAACACAGACAGAGGGCAACAAACATGAAAACTGAAAATGAACAGAGAGTATCTATCAAACTATTGGGTATACAGGGTTACTTTTGTATTTCTTTTTTTTTTTTAATGTGCGGCATTGTCTTGGTTTGTTGTATTGAAAACAACTATCTGATCAGTTTAAAACAATATGCCACAATATTTTCTAAAAAATATCTGTAATTTTTTTATTTTATTATTTATGGACCAAGTGAATTCCAAGGCGACACTGGTCTTGACTGCAGCAGTGACAGGTGAGTTGACATAGTGTCACTCTCTCCAGCCCGAAGAGCCCATCCCTTGTGTTGTAGTTCTATACTGAGATCCACAAATACAAATACTGTCGACTTTACACACAAGAGCTTCATCATTTTGTATGTTGAGTAGTTTATGATAATAAAAGAAAATCTACTTTGCTGCCACCTAAGCAGCCACACAGCTAATGATTACTGAAGGGTGTTTTGTTTATCCGTGCACGCTTTGCAATTATTTAGCCAAAAGGGCAAATGACTTCAGAATAATCTCGAAGCCTGTGTTCCCCAATTAGTGTGAGGTTACAAAACTGCCAGAAACGTGTGATTAAAATTAAAATAATTTCAAATGAGAGGACGCCGAGCACAAGGACTATATTGTGGAGCCGTGGGAGCACAAAGAGGAGGCTGTGTGCCCTGCTCAGATCAAGTCGAAATCGAAGCATCGGGGCAACCTTCAGTAGTTTTCAGATGCACATCAAGGTCATCTGTAAATCCGGGCTGCACTGTAAATAAGAGGCACAGCTTTCACTCACGGATCCGCATGATTGACATATCCCGGGGTGCACTGGCCTCCTGGTTCCTCTCTTTTTACAGCTCTGGATCAGAGACTGCGGCTGACGGAGCAGCACAGTCACAAATATAGGCTAACTGCATTCCTCCACACTCGGGTGACAGTGGTATAAAAAACGGAGTCGGAACCTGAGGAGGTGAGCAATTAGTCCATCTGTCATCCATCATTCCAAACCATGTGATTTGTCACTGCGCGCTGCAATGAGGTAGAGCCATGCGGCTGCAGAATAATAATTATGTTTAAACCGTGGACGAGCAGCCGTCACGGGAGAATGTGATTGCATTGATTATTTACCGCGGAGGTAAACGTGTATCACTGCTTATCACTTCGCTTCAGCGGCGGCTCACATCCGAGCGACGCCCATCCAGCCGCAAGCAGCTGGACCAACATGAACCACGTTACATATTTACCCCCTCGTCCTTTGGGGGCAGTTTTCTTACCCTTAAGTGCAATCATCGCAGGCCACATTCCCACGGGCATCCGTGAGAACCGAAAAGCGGTGCCATATAGCTGTCAGAGCATGTCAGTGACACATCCACGGTGACATACAGTGGAGAGGTTTTTACCCTGCCAGGGGCGATGCATGCAGGAATAAAAAAAAATCTGCATCATTTATGAAGGAATAAAAAGCGGGTTCTTACCGTATCAGCATACGCAGCAGTATAGACGCATGTACAGGCTCCACATCCAGCGCAAAGCGCAGTCGAGAATAACCTTTAACGTGCTCTTTCACACAGTCCCCAGAATGAAGGTCTTGGATTAAAAAAAACAATGATATAAATCTTCCCACTGGAAAAGAAAAAACAATTTCACTGACAGGCGACTCTAACCTGGATCCAGCGGTAGTTGTTTCTTGTTGCAGCAAAAATAAAAAAAACGCCACCTTGTTAAAGGTTGGATGGGAATAAAGCTAAAGGTGTAATGAACCAATAGCTGTGGCTGCTCGGTTTCCACATCCGCGCTCACGCAGGAGGTTTTAGTGTCTGCCCAAACGCACTACGACCAGTGGAGCGCAGGAGGAGGAGGAGTATCTCCACAGCCGTCTGTCTGTGTCCCTCCTTCCCTCCCTCCTTCTCTCTCTCTCTCTCTCTCTCTTTCCTTCCTTATCTTTTTAGGTGTCGGTGTGTTGGTCTCGACTTCAGCTGAGGTCCACGGGCGCAGAGCACGGGGCAGTAGTGATCACCACGGAGGGAGAGAAGGGTCAGAAATGACAAAACAATTTGGGGATGCGGTGGATGCTCCGTGGATCAGAGCGCACAGACCGGCATGAGGAGCATTGCGTTGCAGCCGGGCAAGGAGCCGAGAACGGGTGGGAGACTGGGGAGGAGGGTGAGGGAGGTGGGGGGGCGATTCCTGCCTGGGAGCTGCAGGCAGAGAGGAAAGAGGAGAAACGAAGTGAGGTGTCGAGTGTAAAACGCGGCACTGGATTTGACTCCTAAAAAGAAATCTGGCCTCGGGCTCCACCTGCCGTGTGAACACACACAGGGGTTGTCAGAATGTTCAAACGGCACGACGTGACGTTTTTCTGATTCACATGTGACAGATTTATTTTAGGGCTCAGTGAACATGACGGAATGACGATGTTTTACCCAGTTGACCTCAGAATGACTTTAACCACAAATGGAAAAAAAAAATTCCGTTTCACTTTTGGTGTTTTAAAAAAAGCACAGGTTTGTGTCACGTGACCAAAAGAATTATTTCGTATTTTTTATGAACATACACCGTTTAGTAACGCTTATTACCATGGCCTGGACAGTGGAGCAAGAAATAAAATTATCTTTTAGAATAAATTAGCCTAAAGGAAAAATAATTCCCTTCAGCTTAAATCACCTTGGATTCCATTGAATGTCCTTCCATGGTCCATGGAGCCAAACTGTAGAACAAGAAGAGATTGTTTTGTTGAAGTTGTTTTATTGAAATAAAAATCTAAAAATCGTTGCTCTTTTGCAGTGGTCTCTTTTGAACTGTATCAAAACAAATATGTGGAAATACTCCGAAATATGTATGTATGCCAAATAAATAAAAAATTCACAAACAACAATCCATTTCGGCTACGATTTTTGCGATTGTGATAAGGATTTGTTTTTAGCAACATGTAAAATAATAATAAAAAAAATGCTCAGAACCCTCCTTCCAAAAAGTAGGCAATTGTTAAATAATATTTTTTTAAAGAATCAAAAACAGGCCCAGCATCATAAACATGTAGGATGCTGAATTTAAAAGTCAACTAAATATACAATTCTGTTTTTTAATATAATATTAATTTAAAGTATATATTTAGTGACCATTGTAAACATTTTTTTTTATTATTATACATAGGCACCATTCACTGTTCTTAAAGCTAGTCAGTCCTTGTATATGTTGATATGCAAAGTAGGCTAATGTTAGCTACAGCATTAGCCCACGGAGGGATATAGCAGTCTTTACATGAGATGCACCTCCTCACACAACCCAAACTGGAATCTGGGGAACTATTTTGCCAAATTGTTCTGGGTTACTACCGTACCTACATTTGGCCTACTGTAGTACCTCTAGGGTACGTGTACTCAAAGATGAGAACCCCTGTAACACAGTGAGAGCATGGTGAGACCGTACCTGGGTTTGTTTATTCTCTTTGGGGATGAGTCCTGATAGAGCCGGGAGATCAGAGAGTGACATGCGCACTGGGAGAACGCCAAGCTGCAGACATTAAGGATGGCAAATTAAACCCGCAGCTTGCGTCTGGGTGGCGGTCTCTCTCTTTCTCACTCTCTCTGTAAACTGTTATCAACTGTCCCACCAGGAAAGTGTCAGTCGGAGGAGGAGGAGGAGGAGGAGGAGAAAGGTAGCGGAGCCGCTGAACTCAGTAGGTACCTGTTGATAGCCCCCCGGCGATGAAATGGAGGTGAGACGAGGCTTCCAGCTAGAAGCGCCTGTGAGCCGTCATAGTGTGTGTGACAGAGGGAGAGAGTGTGTGTGTGTTTATGTGTGTATTCGTCACAGCAACAGGTCGTCTGTGAAGACAGCTCACAACGTTGTCCTGGATGTGTTTTTTTTTGTTTTTTTTTAAAAATCAAATTAAAGCCATTTGACTGGTGCCGTCAGTGCAGTGCAGTAAATCTAGCATCTGTAATCGTCATGGAGACATGTCCCCACGTAGACGGATCACAATCCTATTAGTTCACCGTGAAGATCATGCAATTTATATACTGCACACGCTGCGTTTATCATCACGTGATTTAATACTTCCCTAATTAGATTTCAGATGAGACGTTATCATTTCCAGACCATCGTTTGACAAATCGAATCATGTAGTTATGATTGTTGTTGACGAAACACAGCGTCCCCTGCGGTCTGAATGGTCAGTGCAGGCCATGTGTCGCTGTGAATTATCGTCACTGGCTGTTAAAGCCTTTTGGAGAAGATCTGGATCCTCCTTCAGGGGATTAGTTGACAGGCAAGACGTTTGTAAGCCATCAAGACTCAGGGCCTAGAAGTGAAACTACAGAAGGCAAATACAGTATATGTTAAATAATAAATAACATATATTTACGTATAAAGTGACTTGAAATGTAAAGGTTTATATTTATTGCATAATGTAGTACAGGGATTTTTGTGACAAAAACCAGGCAGATACGTGTGGAGTATTTTGCAATTATGCTATGGAAGTACTTTATATAAAAAATACACAGGTTGACAGAGGTCATTTCAAAGGTCAAAACTCACTGTTACTCACATTGTAGATCTCATACAGGAGAAGAAGGACGTGGTGAAGCTTTTCAACACATGGTGGCACTATGATGGAAGTCATGGGTGAGTACCGTCATAACTTGTAGATGCCAAGGCTGCAGCAGGCAGAAGGGAGGGATGTCAGTGTATACTGTATATACGCAGGTGGCACAGAACTCCAGTGTTTGTGGGTCATTGACTCTGAGCACGTTACGATCAGTGCAGTTGTACCAATTTCCTCCAGCCAAAAAACCAGTAACAAATGACACCACGGTACTGTTACTGCATTCTTTTTTTATATAAGAAAACATACTGATTAAAATTCATAAGCTCCCTGGCAAGTAATTATTTTTGCTCAAGTTTTGGACTAAAATGAATTAATATTTCCTTTGTGTAAGTGAAATCTGCAATAAAAAAAAACTTTATTTTTTTCTTAGCGTGTAAAAGGAATTACAAGTAGAGTGGCCTTTATTTTTTTCTTAGTGTAAAAGGAATTACAAGTAGAGTGGCTGCTGGTTTTTTTTCAGTTGAGCATAGCTAATGTCCTCAGAAAAGAAATTTAAGAAAACAAATATTTTATTTCATTGCCTCAGGATACTTAGGACTAGAAAAAAAATTTTTTTTGTTATTTTCATTTTCATGCTCATTTTTTTTTTGTTATTTTCATTTTCATGCTAAAAAATTTTTTTGTTATTTTCATTTTCATGCTCTGGCAATATTTTTTAAATTTCCTGTCAATATTGAATAACTAACACCGTTTAGTCTAAGGGGTTTGAATATACGCCGGGGGTCAGGAAGTTTGTGGATTTCAACTCAAGCCAAGGCATCTTGTCAGTGTGTGGCACAGACGATGTTTAATTCCTCTGCAGATACAGAGTGTGCCCTGGAGGCTGTGGAGAGACTATTAGCTAAAGTGAGAGAGAGAGGGGAGGCCCCCACGCAGGAGAAGCTCTGTCTGCTGAAGACCGTCCTGCAGAGCCCCTTGTTCCATCACATACTGGGCTTACAGCAAACTCAGCGGAAGCCCCTGGCGAAGGTACAGCGTGAGCATGAGTGTGTAGGTGTTTGGTGTACGTTGAATAGTGGGGAAGAAGCAAGAAACCTTTCCCAAAATACTGAACGCAGGAGCCACAGTGGATGAGTAATCAGCTTACCTAAGCTTACCACTAAAGCTCTGAAAAAGAAACGGAGAGAAAGGCAGAGGAAAAGAGTGGCGTGGACTTGATGAGTTTGCAGAAGTCATTTGTGACATTGTCATAAGTTTCCAGCCGAGGAGCGTGGGGGGCGGGGGTGCTGGCGTGTTTCTGCTGACAGCTGATACGTCTGCTATTGCTATAAGAATAATTAATTCCCATGAGCTACAGCTAAGATTTACAGTACACATGTGCACACGCTGCTATATGATATGCAGGTCGCTGGAAAATACTTAACTTATCTAGTAATACTCACCTGTTGTACCATTAACCGTCGCAGTACGGATGACAAAATAAGGCGTGAGACTGTTGATCAGTTGTTTAATGGACCAGTCTTTGACCTTTTTGACCTCTGCTCACGGAGGTCATTTTTGTAATAATTTAAAAGATGTCTTTGCTGTATATAAATGACAAAGCTGTTTCTCTTCACATCCTCCACTGATGTCTAAACAGCCAGGGATTTGTTTTTCCTCGTTCCTTTTTTTTCCTCGTTTTCCTGAGTAGCTTTTTCGACTGTTCTTTCAGTTTTTGGGAAAGTTAAAGATCCAGATGGAGCTGGATCAGTAACGATGGCAAAGCCTAAAATATTTCAACGTCATCTGTTTGATTTGAAAATCATTCATGTTTGAAGGTCGAAAAATACCTGATCAAAAGAAAGGTAACAGCGCTCAACCCTTGAGGAGGATGTTTAGTGACAAAACACGCTAAGCAGAGGTCGCTAAAAGACAGCTTTGAAATCAGTAACATCCGTCTTAGAACTTTTTGACTTTTTGATGAATTGTGAGCGTGGTTATACCCCATCACTGTTGCAGAGCTCGGGTGTGCGAACGGAGCAGACTGCACCACTCTGCATGAAGAGATGATGATATCAATGGGAAAGTCGAGACATACGCTACAGTATATTGCCTAATAGAGGAGCACTTGCTTTTTGAATGATGAAATACTGTAAATCTCTGCTTATTACTGTGAGTGCTTCTTTTTAATAAATTATATTTTCTGAGCCGTTAGATTGGACGAAGATGACAATCAGATGAATATTTACCCAAATTTTAATTACATTTTAATATACTTTAAACTTTAATGCATTTTATACGTCCACTCACCCCTCTCCTCGTCTCCAATCCTTTTTTAAAAAGTCACACTTTTTTCTTTTCTCCATGCGTCCTCTTCCTTCCCTCTGCTCTTTCGTCATTGTCTAAAAATTCTCTTTCCAATATCCTGAATCCTTTCCCCTGTCACTCTTTCACCCGTGGCCTAGTTCTCTCTGCCTCCGTTTCTCCTCTCTTCAATTAATGCCCCCACCTTTTTATCCATCCTCCTTATGTCTTAATCTTTTCGGCATTGATTTTCTCAATAACCTTCTTTTCATTCTACTTCCTTCTCTCAGACCCCTTTGCTCTCGGCCTTTCGCCAACTCTCCTCCTCTTACCCTCTCTTACCCTCTCTCCTCTCATAAAATCCATCTCCACTTTTATCATGTTTGTTTGAATATCACCCCAACAGACGAGAAGCTTTACCAAATCTGTATCCGTGAACGGTGGACCATGTCCAGGTAATTCAGTGGAGTTAAAATCACTGAGCAACAGTGACTCCTACACGTGGGCCGTGGAGGACCGAGCACCTGGGGAGGGCAGCGTCTCCTCTCTGGGCTCTCAGGATCTGTCGCTTCCAGACATTTACAGGAGCAGCTTCTCAGAATCACAAGTAGGTGAAATATAAATGCAATCATGAGGAGGTGATGGGAAAGAAGGAGAGAATATATATTTAAAGCACTCGCTTCATAAAGTCAGCGTCTAAAAATACAGTTTCACCTTTTTTAAAAATGACACGTCACGTTGGACAATAACACATCTGCAAATGAACGTCAATCAAAATTTGGTCTCACAGCATCTGAGAGCCAGAGACAGGAAATCTGCAACTTGTTTTTATTCATATGTGACACTTCAGGTTTTTAGCACAGCACTCCTACGCAAATTATGTGCAGCATGTCGACTGAGAGCAACCTGTCTGCCATTGAAGTAGATTTGGTCATTTGCATTTACTGGACAACATTTCTATTGCTGCGTTGTGACTTTACATTATTAATAATTCTCACCCCTCTCCGTGTTCCCTCTGCTCTCTATATTTTAGACTGTACTTCACCAGAGGCGTCATGTGGAAATGATTGAGCTGGTGAATGATGGGAAGGGGCTCGGCTTTGGCATCATCGGAGGACGCAGTACTGGAGTACTGGTCCAAACTATTCTACCTGGAGCAGCCGCCGGCAGGGTAAACCAACCACACTATACAGAATATATTAATATTCAGATAAATATTTTTAGCATTGGTGCCCAATAAGGAGATCGCAGCCCAGCAGTAGATCAGAAAGGGAGTACTGGTAGATCATGAGAAATTAAAATAAAATTTAAGATCAAATAATATATAGGGTACTATATGAGTATATGAGTACATTGAATATTATCAATGTAGGTGGATCACTTTTGGCTCCCAGTCCAAAAATGTGTGGTCTTTGTAAAATATACCAATTATGACACATATATAAGGAGATATATACATGAATAGAAATATATATGCCTCTGTGTTTATGTTATGTATATGTTCATATATTTATATATATATATATACACACACACATTATGTATGTATAAATAATATATATATATATGTGTGTGTGTGTGTGTGTATTTATATATACAAACTTTCTGTCTGACTTTCCAGGATAAGCGCCTGCGTAGCGGGGATCAGATCCTGTGTGTCGGAGATACAGACCTGACAGGCATGAGCAGCGAGCAGGTGGCACAAGTGAGACGTTATTTTGTAGAAGCTGTCTATGACTAAGTGATGTGGCCTGGTCATGGCACCATATGTCCTGCTGGTGGCAGAACATTAACATACATGTGGCATTGCAGCCAATTAAGCCGAATCTCCAAGGCCACAGGCTTTTATTTACCACCAAGTGTTTTTCCTTCTTAGTCCTCAGGGGGGAGCACAACTTGGCAAATCAACTGTGGAATTTTAAGATACAGAAATAACTTGAAGGTTTTTGGAAGTTTTTTCTAAACAGGCTTTCTCAGAAAATGTGTGGCCAGAACTCCATCTGTTGATGAACGTATGATGCTGTGACATCACTTTACATTTTTATTAACCTCCTGGCTCAGGTGCTGAGGAATGCTGGGAGCAGAGTGAAGCTGCTTATCGCCAGAGATATCCCCAAGGACAGAATGTGTTCTCCTGTTATACAACAGAGCAGCGTGGATGACAAGGTCTGTAAGTTAGATTAAGTTAAAGATTTACATGGGTCAGTGTGGAAAAACATTTTTTTAAGTTTGATTAAGTTAAAGATTTACATGGGTCAGACAAAAACAGATTTAAAAATAGAAAATAACAAGATCATTTTTATACATATTATAATACTAGAATTCTGGGGTGGGGGTCACACCGGGTCACGACCTTACCTTTCAAATGTTGAGATTGCTAAAATGAAACAAACTTTTCGTAGTAATTAATAAACAATTTTTAAAAAATAATTAATTTTTAGAACTGTAATTTTTTAGAACTGTATCATATTATACCCTTTATTGGGTATTTTTTTTATTCTAATCAGGAAATAAAAAAGTTTTAGATTTAACCCTAATACAAACTTTTTGGATTTGCCAAGAATTTAAGAGGAAGTATTTGTGTTTTTTCTTCCTCCAGCTGAATGACCTAGGTGATGACCTTGACTTCAGTGTGGAGTTCACCAAAAACAGCCGAGGTCTGGGATTTACCATCGGCAGTTATATAAGTGATGTGAACTCAGGTGCAGTAAATATTCCTGCTCAACTTTTTTAAATTTTGTTTTTGTGGCAAATTACACAATCAATAATGTTATTGTTTCCTCCCTCTACAGCCTACAGTGCCGGTGTGATAGTAGAGAGCATAGTGAAAAGCAGCACCGTTGATCTAGACGGACGGATCCGCATCGGAGACTTTATACTCTCTGTGAGTTTGGCTGAAAACACATCAGATCAGGTTCATATCGTGTGCTCTGAAGAAAAATACCGTGCCGTCACTTATGTATTATTTGCTGAATCTTAAGGATTTCAGCTGCTTCAAATCTGCACAGTGTGCAACCTTTACCTGTTCCACAGACACAGTTTTGAGCCATTTCTGATGACAAAGAGGAATTCATTTCGTTTAAAGGTTTTCTTTTTTTTGACATTCATTCTATTAATTTTTACACTGTTTTGGGCCCATGTTTATTTTGATTACTATTGATTTGTCATGTCTTTCCTAGTTCCGTGCTCTCTGTGCTTTTCATAACTGAAATTTTTCAACCGTACCTGACTGAATTTGAGTCTTCATTTACTACACTCTTTTTCTGTTTTTTCTATTTAAATGTCTGTTCAGGTGGATGGGGTGAGCTTGCAGGGTTGCAGTGAGCAGACAGCAGTGGAACTGCTGAGGCGGACAGGTCCAGAGGTCAAGTTAAAGTTGCTAAGGAGGGCCAGTGGCGTACCGCAGGTCCCCCGTCTGCAGCTGCTGCAACACAGCCACAGTTTCAGTGAGGAAAATTCTTCCAGTTTGGGCCTGAAAATGATTCAGGAGAAAGGTACAAAGATGTTGGAAACTTTGGTTGGTGCTTCTTTGGATCAAATTTGTATTAATATCTACCTCTGGAACTCTTAACATTATTCTTTTAATCAGTTCCTGTATCTGTAACAACACATGTCTCTCTGTCAGGAATCTGCTCCCTGCGTGCGATCTGCTGGCGAGTAGCGTACGCCAGCCGACGACCCCGACACGATTTCAAACGTGGTGAGTTCTCCTTTACTTCCTACTTCCTTTCCCACACTCAGGGTTCATACATGTGTGCTTGGAGTTTTAAACACATTTCCCAGTAGACCACGTTTTTAATTGAGAGTAATAAAATAAGTAGCACAAAAAAACTACACTGCTCCCTCTGCTGGGATTAGCATGAGCCTTCGTGTTAGTGATTGCTAGTTGTTACGTGTCACCCCAAAAGATTGTGTGCAAATTATAGATTATATAAAATAATTATAAATTATAATGTTACAAACTTTCCGCAACTGTAGAGGGACCAGCTCCAAAACTGGTTCAACTTGTGCAACTTGTGTTTGCTGTTAATATACAACAGTGAGAGTGAAAATTTGCCATATGGAGTGAATGGATTTGTATCATACCATGCAATTTATGTGCAATATAGGTTCTGAATGACACATAAAAAACTTGAAAACTGATCTTGAAAGTCCTTGAAAAGTGCTTGAATTTGAAGTGTACGAACCCTGCATACTGCACTGCAGCCTGGAACTGTATCATTACACTTAGTCTGAAATGCTAATTGGGTTTAGTAAACAGCCAGGAATGCTCGATGATGGGCGTCTATTTATAGTGCCGTGCAGTCATGTGTTTATCCAACTCATTCAACTCATTCCAGATGATTTGTCTCTCACTCTGCCTGCGTATATGGCTTTATTTAGACAACGTTTTTCTGGCCCTGATTAGAGAACATAGTCAATAAGCCTTGATTGCTGAGTAGATGACGGAGGAAACGTCACTTGGCCTAAAATAAAGTTTAGAATGAAAAGCTGCTGCAACGTTGGTTCATAGTGTTCAATGATTACATAATCCAAGACTGTAAACACTTTAATCTAGGACGTGTTTTATCTGCTCTGCATATTTCATATGCAGTTTTATGAGGGCGAACGTTACTGTGTTGTGTGCACAAATTACAGGTGTGAAACTGACGTCAGACGAAGAGGAGTACCTGAGGAGGAGGTGGCAGCAAGCTGTCGGACCACAGCATGAAGTTTTTGTAAGTCTGTTTAAGTCAGCAGGCAATCGGAATTTTTATTTACAGTATTAAATCACTGATTACATAGAGGTGAAAGGCAATAAACATTTTTGTTAGCTTGACATCCACACCTGTTTTACCTAGTTTACCTTGATATTTTACCAAAAATATATAGGATACATTTGATCAATGAACTAGTTTACCTTGATATTTTACCAATAATATATAGGATACATTTGATCAATGAAAACAATACAATAATCTTTCACGTGTGTCCTAATGCATTTTCTAAATGTATTGTTTTAATACATTTCTTGATGTGATGTGACTTGATATTTTAACATATATATTTTAACCTTTTGACCTCGCTCAGCCTTTACCATCCACTGTTGTTTCAGGTGTGTCAGCTGGAGCGCTTTAGTGAGAGGAGTGGTCTGGGCATCAGTCTGGAGGCCCGGGCCAGACATCATTACCTGTGCTCCGTCTTACCTGAGGGACCCGTGGGCCAAAGTCACAAGATTTTCACCGGAGACCAGATATTAGAGGTAACTGCATGAAGACGACTCACGCGGTCCACTCTGTAGAGTCTCATCCTTTGACATTTGATAACCATCTGGCAGTCCGTGGTTAACTGAACAGTGTGGGTTATAAACCTATGGCTAAAAATATCTGTTATCATAGCATCTCACACAGGTCAACAAAACTGACACTTGTAAAATACCTGCCTTCTGGGAATAAATATCACAATACAAAACATATATTTAAATTCTGTTAACAACCAATTCCTGCCTTAAGGCTATGAACTGTGTGTCACCGTCTGTCTGTCGGGTGTGAACTATTCATCATCATCATCCTGGGCAGGTGAATGGGATCCCTCTTGTCGGGCAGCCACATAAGGAGGTGATCAATATTCTGAAGGAGCTGCCTCTGCATGTTTACCTGGTGTGCTCCAGGATGGTGACGCCTTCAGTTCCTGACAGCAGTGACGGTGATGGAGAGGATGTCCGCCTCACGCTGAAGGAGCTGCTGGCCGAGTTCAACGAGAAGGTGAGTGTTCACACAAAGGGATTATTTCAAGGGAAACGACTGCCGTTTGAATTTCCATTTTTAGTCTGATTTGAACACATTTTTTTGTCATGAACTCTATTAAGATGCAGATGATACAGTTCTGTCCTTTTGTCTCCCAGTTGGACCGGGGTTGTGTCATTCCCTGTCCTACGGCCGAGGACATCACCAGGCGCGGCGTTCCACCTATGTCACCTCCTCTGGCCATGTGGGAGAGAGAGACCGAGGTGGTCGAGCTGGAGAAAGGCGAGTCCGGACTGGGCTTCAGTATCCTGGACTACCAGGTCAGAGATGTGCCTTTGAGCTTTTCTCTAAATAGAACGGCCCAGAATAGGCTGCAGTCTAAGAATATCAGTGTCAGGGAGGGGGGAAGGAGCTAAGGAATTGAACACTGAGGGAGTGAAGAAGCAGATAGTTTGGAGGTGGACTTTTGGGAACTATAAGAAAACTGCATCCGTTTGTGTATGAATTTAAACAGTCTTTGTTGCTGCTTGGCCTTTGACTTTACCAATTATTTCCCCTTTCTTGCTATCTCCTCACACATCTTCTCCAAATATAGCCTCAACATCAACGCCTTCATTCATCTGTGTTTTACTTGTAGGATCCAGAAGATGCCGCTAAAACAGTTCTGGTGATCCGCTCCTTGGTGCCTGGAGGTGTAGCGGAACGTGACGGTCGCCTCCTCCCTGGAGACCGACTCATGTTTGTTGACGACATTCACCTGGAAGACTCCAGCCTGGACTACGCTGTTCATGTCCTGAAGTCCACTGGCTACGGCCCTGTCTGCATCGGTGTGGCCAAACCTCTGCCAGTATGTGCTCTGAATGGAGATTATTATAATTGTTTGTGATTATTGTGATCATTATTTAATTTGGTAATTGTTGACAAACCCTTTCCAGTATTGTGTTGTAAATGAAAATTATTATACATTTTGTTACATAAATTATTACACATTTTTGTAATTGATTAATAAATCAATTAGCTTGTTAATTAATTAGGTCATTTTTAAAACAGGGTGCAAAGTGCCTTTTGGTAAAAGAAAATTACGTAAATTATAAACATGAAATGATCCATTCAAATCAAACATTAACATTTTCGATCTGATGAATCACTGGTTATGATGATCAGGATTAGTCATTAGCAATCTTTAATCATGATTAATTAAGATTAATCAACATTCTTGAGTATGATTAAAAGAAATTCTGTGTATTGATGGAACACAAAAACAAATAACAGGATGAGGTGTGTGTGTTGCCAACTGTTTGTATCCGAATGATGGAATTATTACTATGGAAACGTGAAAAAGAAAATGTACAAAAGTAGAACTCAAAATTTAGCTTCGTAGAGTTGGTGGATTTAAGTCATTACTGTGCACGTTAATGGTGGCTTGTCAAACGTGTCGAGAGCTGCTTTCAAAGCCTTGGCAACAGGAAACATTTTATGTCAGTCAGCTTGTCAGCTGTAGACTTACTTACCGACCTGTGCTCAGTGAGCAGTGAGGCAGGTCTGAGGCAAACTGCACACTGTGTGTATATATATGTATATATACATACATATATATATATATATACTGTATGTATGTATATATATATACATACATACAGTATATATATATATATATGTATGTATATATACATATATATACATATATAGATATATATACATATACATACATATATAGATATATATACATATACATACATTCTATATATATATATATATGTATGTATATGTATATATACATACATATATGTGTATATATGTATCTATATACACACATACACGCATATATGTACATATATACACACATATGTTTGTGTGTTTGTGTGTGTGTGTTAGAAAGGATTGCACAAGACATGTTGCATTTAATACGTTTCTGCAGACTCTCTGATGGCATTAAATCCTAATCTTATCATTGCATATTTGAAAATGTCCAAAGTTATTCGATACATGAGCAGATAAGTGTAGCTCTCTCCTTCAGAGTACTATATTCGTTCTCCGTTCTGTTTTGAACTGTGGCTTAGTAACAAGGAAGAGAGAATCCAGTTACAGGCCATCTGCATTTTTAATGCAGCTGAGAGATGAAGACAATGCTGGACAACACTACAGATGGAGAGAGGAGTAGAGGGTGTCTAATTTACAGTCACCTCCTTCAGCCTGTTCTTCAGCCTCCATGTGAATTCACCCGCTTTTGTGGCGTCATTTGTTTTCACTTCTCCGTTTGGTTATGTGCGCCTTTTCAGAAGAGGTCATTTTTGAAATTTGTGTTTGCAGTTGGAACTGTGCGGCAGCCTGACGCCAATTTCGGAGAGGAGCATACAAGCTTCTTACGATGCAAGCCACACACGGCACAGCCTGCTAACCGAGGCGGCCCAGGCTCCCACCAACAGTTTCTACGTGGAGGACGGCAGCACCGTCCAGCAGCCGCACACCCAGACAGTAAGTGAGACAATCTGGACAATTTAGCGTGAAATTCCTTCGACACACATTTCTTCTTTTGAAGCAAAAGCACAGTTGGGTCTCCTTTTACTTAGTTGTGCACAAAGCAAAACCAATTTCTGCATGCAGCACACTGCAGTTGTCAAAATTGTCAAAATTGTAAATGTCTAAATGTTCTAATTAAAAAGCAAAAAAAAAAAAAAAACAAGACATGTTGTATTACGCAGCATCACAGGGTTGATGAATGTTTGCTTGATGTTTCCGACTCAACAGGAGACATTCTTTTAAAGTGACAGTTTCAGTCCCCCGGTGTCCGTCATTTTTGCTCATTACCATGCAAACCTGAGAATCTGTGGGTAGACGTTTGAGCTGCTGCTGTGGAGGAGGAGATTACCATAGCCTCTATAATGGGGAGCTTAGAGTCGGCTGTATCAGTATCACTGGGTCAGGTACAGAGAAAGTGCTCGGTGTCATAGTCTTGTTCCTCTATTGTTGTCTCAAACCCAGTCCTATTGAGGTCAGCTCTTCTACTCACTCTTGCTTAATTACCAACAATTACCACAACAATAAAATGTGTTTACTGCCTGCACATCATTGGCACCTAGTGTAGAGTAAGGCCATTCATTTCTGTCACACTCTCTCTCACACACACACACACACACACACACAGTACACAGACAGTGTAGCTCCAGAATTTGGTGTTAATTTGCCCCCCCCTTTGTCTTCAGAGGACCCTGGAGGTCGGAGCAACACATTAGTTCTTGGTTCTGTTTACACTTCAAAAGTTCTTACTCTCTTCATCATCACTGCAGCGTAGAAACAGTCTGGAGCATTTTTTAAAAACCACTGCAGGCGGCATTTTTCATTTCAGTGTTTGAGCCTCACAGAAAGTCTGACATTTGGTTGAATGAAAGTGGATGATGATTCATCACCGTGTGTGACACACACACACACACACACACAGACACTTCATTGATTTTCTCTTTGATTTGTGAAAATCTGAGTTAATGCAGCGGTGACTCCCACACATCCAAATATCAACTTGTGGAAGAATTTTAATTTGAGCAAAACACATTTTAAAAGTTGAACTTCTGTAATTACTGTGATTACGATAAAGTTCAGGCTCGTGGAAAATTATTGTCATTGCCTGAAATAAACATTTACATCGAATTCTTATTAGGAATAAAGTGAGTCAATAAATTCAACAAAGTTTTATTCTATTTTATTCACTATATTTTAGTGCCAGATATGAACTCTCATCAGTCATAGTTCATTAATACCATCATCATCATTGTGCAATTTAATTAATGATATATATATATATATGATTAGTAAGTGTGTTTGAGGTAACTTAATGAAGGTTAGGTTTTTATATTAAGAAAAAACTTAAACAACTCAAGTATGACTGTAACTAGTGAATTGCATCGACAACTGTATTAGAAGCTGTACTCTTTTGATTAATCTATATGTAAAATTAATCAGGTGTAAATTAATGACACATTTTAAGAAATGGGCAGAATGGCAAGTAGGAGCTATTTATTTTCTATTTATTTATTAGCATTTTTGTTCACATTTGTAATAATTCCACTATTCTGATTATTCACAAATTTAAACATCAGTGAAACACATACATGTCCCTGCTGTTATTTCTTGCAATATACAGAAATGTATTTTTAATATTTTTTATTTTAAAATTTAGGAATGTTGATTCATGCCAATAAATCATGACTGATACTGAATAATTAGTCAGGATTAATAGGAATTACCCATGTTTAATCTACTGGTACTCTTTGATTCATCTGATTAAAAATTGTAATAATTTAACATATGATATATATAATTTTTTTACTATAACCTTTCTTAATCAATAATTTGATTGGAGCATCTTAAATCCTAGTCGGTTTTTACTTGTTGTTTTCCTTGGAGAAACCTTGTTGTTGTAATTGTACAACCATCTGTGCTCAGCTTGCCGTGGTCTGTGCTCTGTGACCTTTGACCTCACCTCGGAGCAGAGTTTCAAGCCATCTACACAGTAATGGCTGTGTTTTAAACAACATAGAAGAACGGCGATCGTTAGGAGTAAACCGTACACCAGACCACACGCCTGCAGTATATCTGACCTTGTTGATAGTTTTGTATCGGGTAATGTTGACACATCACAGAGATTTCGTGCCGTGTGACTGGTCACCGTCCACGCCACATGTGCCTAATTCAGCACAGCCATTCATCATCGCTGATAACTTTTCCTCTGACGTGTGTGTCACCTCTGGGCTCATGTCTCCACCGCTGTGTCTCTCATAGGTAAACCAGTCACGTAATTGCTTTGGCACCATGGAAGACAAGGACAGGCACCAGGCCCCACCTCTGCCTCCGCGCACCAGCTTTGAGAGGACAATCACTGTTGTCAGGGGCAACCGCAGCCTCGGTACGTTCTCCGTCTTTCTCCTGGCGATGCTTTCTTGGTGTGTGTACTTCGCAGGTATGGCTATAATGACTCCAGTTGGAGCAGTGAAGATACCTGTGTATTCACCAAAGGCCTGGAAACAGAAGAAGTAATAAAAGTATTTTTATGTATTTAATAATAATTTACTGGCTTTTCTTCATCACTGTGACCTCATAAAAACTAAATCAAACCCTCGATGTTACGACAAAGCAATGATTAAGTCGTCTTAATGTGCAACTTTGTACAACTGTAACATAAAAGCAATGATTAAGTAGTCTTAATGTGCAACTTTGTACAACTGTATTTACTTGTATTACTGTAGTACACATATATTTGTGCAGCTCCATCTGGTTGATACTCTGCTCTGTGATCAACCCAGGAAAAAGGAAAGTCTTTTTTATGTCAGATTTACATGTAGCCTTTTTCTCATTGGGACATTGACTATGAACATGAGTACTACTAAATACTACAGCGCTTATGTACTAAAACAAGGAGATGTAGTAATTTTTTAGATGAACATTTTTCTCGTTTTTATTTCCTAAAAAAGGAAAGTATTTATTAGACGGTGTGACCTTATTGGAATAAGTTTAGTTAAAAAAGACATTTTTAAATGGAAATAAATTATATCATAAAAGGTTTGATGCCAGAATAGCCTTCTAATTGATACACATTAATTATTCATAGTAATTAATTCACACTTAATTATTATGGATTTCACCAGTGTGGGGACCTTATCATTTTATACTGTTTGTGTTGAGAATTAATTTTCAACTTTTTGAATTTTTTTTTTTCAGTTTATTAACATCATTTTTTTGTGATTAATTAATTGGGATGACATTGACTCTCTGTTAGTTTTGTCCAGCAGCAGTAACTACATGTGTTTCCAGTCATTTGTCATTTATTTTATTTTGAATGTAATGATAAAAACCAATGTAATATACGAGTACAACTCTTGTATTTTGGATGGACATGGTGGTTAGAAGACAATACTGTACACAACACAGGGGCTGTCAGCCTTCAGTCTTGGGTGTGTGTGTTTGTGATTGAAAAGTGTGTGTGTGTGATGCCAGATTTACCAGCTTCTGCCAGTTTGCCTTAATGAAGTGTTTGTGTAATCAACCAGGATGATGCCAAATTCAGGTGTTTTGTACAACAGGCATGTGTTGCTCTGTAGTCACCTGTGCTCTCTGTGGGTGGGATTTGTGTGTGTGTGTTGGAACCTAGTGTAGTGTAACCATGAAGGCTGATGCTGTGTAAATGTCAAGCATGTGCAGCCATGTTTGTGTGTTAATCTTCCAGGTGTCTGTCTTGATTATGCTGATTTTCCACTGTCAGGTGTTGGCATCTGTGACTGTCCGTCTGGAGCGTGTTCAAAGCCGCCTTAGTCAGCCCTCAACTCACTTGTGTCTGTCCTTTGTGCGCATGTGTGTGTGTGTGTGTGTGTCACACATGCATTTTGGCATAGATGACGGTGAGTTCTATGAAGGACGGCTCAGGCATGCTGGTGCGCAGTGTGCTGGAGGGAGGCTCTGTGAACCAGGATGGAAGGCTAGGGGTGGGAGACACCATCTTGGCCATCAATGGGGAGCCCACCACCAACCTGACCAATGCCAAGGCCAGAGCCATGCTGCGCAGACACTCGGTCATGGGGCCTGAAATGAGGTGCGTCTCAAAGTAGATGTATTTTTTGTTATAGAGTGTTTTATAATGTCGTAGAAACCTCTTTGATGCAAAATTCTCTACATTTACTCCACTATGTATTTTTTTAAATTTATGGTTACTACCCTTGCCTTACTTCCTCCACAGTGAGCCCTGCACAACAATTCATCATATCAAGGAATTTTGTTATTTACAAAAAATAATGACTAAACTTTTTTTTAATGCATTTAGGCAATAAATGCTTTAATTTTAAACATAAATGGGGGGGCAGGGGGGTGTACAGTCAGCCCAGACTACAGCAGGATAAAGTTACAGTTACACACCTCCTGAGCATTACAGCAACGGTGGCGAGAAGAAAAAAAAACTCCCTTTGAACAGGAAGAGATCTCCAGCTGATTCCAACTCAGTGTTGCAACAATACAAATAAAATATTTAGGCCTGTTGGTGTTTACTATTTGCACCAAATAATATTCTGGATTTGTTTAGGAGTCAGGAGAATCCTCAGGGCTGTTACATGAGTCTGACCTACCAGGTGTTGGGCAGCGTTGCATTTGAATAAATGCCACTCACATGCCCACTTTTCTGTAAGTCGTCCTGTAGTAACCTCTAACTGGTGCTGATAAAGGCACTCGGTGCTAATCGTGACACTCTTCGTTGTTCGTCCACCTTAATGATCAGAGCTCCACATTCTCTCAGACGCACCATGTGAATTATCAAGCACAGGTGTGGTTTCATACAGTGGCCTGTGACAGCCTGCTCACCCACACGGGTATTTTCACTGAGTTTCTTCTAATTAAACCTGTGAGCTGGTCCAAACTAGGCTAAGGGGAATTTCATGGGGAAACATTTCTAAAAATAAAACACAGCAAACGTCTGTTTTTATGGTTCCCTCTTTGTAGGGGTACGTCGCTGTGCGTAGTTTCAAAAAATAATATTAAAACATTAGCAGAAGTAAAGTTGATCTCAAAAGACATCAGAGAAACTCGCTCTCCACTTTGCCCCCCCACCCTCCAGTCCCAACGTAGTATTAAGTACTAATGATGTAAATACTCTCCTCTACTCCGAGTGTTCTTCACCAGAGGTAGAAACCTTGAACTACTGTAATTAAAACAGCAGGACTGCATGTGTTTGAATTTGTACTACATTACATTACATTACGTTTCTCAAAAAGTGGGGCGTGACCCCTCCAAGGGGACATGGATATATTAGGGGGACAGCATTTTTTTTTTAAAAAAAGATGTATTTATGAATGGTTGATTGGATGGATGGATGAATTGGATTTTCTTTTTTTGTTAAAGACCCTTGTTTTTCTGTGGACCATTCAAAAAGTCTCTGGAAAGAAACAAGACCTCAACTGTTAAAAACAGCTAACTGACTGATGCTCACTCTTTCTAGCTCTAGTGAACCTCTTGACAGCCTGTGTGACTCATTTGAGTGAGTATATGGCATTTCTAACTAAAGTATGTGCCATCCATTGTCATACCATTGGCTTTTTATAATTTCTCAAACCTGACTTTCTTACTGCATCACGTCCCATAAATGATCTGGTCTCATTGTGGAATTCCATTATCACCTTGTTTTTGACGCCACAGTCATAGATGAGTGACGAGCTGCAGTCATGTTAAATTAGATTAGATGATGGAATTTTAAAGCTGGCCTGAGGGGGGAAATGGCTAAATTATTACTTGTTCTAACATCAGCAGTTATGCTTCCGTAGTTACATTGCAGCAGACGACTGGAGCTCTGCCCCACCTCCACCCTGCTGCCTTGCAAAACACCCACTCTCTTCAGCCTGTCCCTCTGCTTCTTCTTCCTCCAGCTCTCTCATGCTTTTACACACACACACACACAAATTCTCTCAATGTTATAACCTCCAAAAACACTGTTTTCCAGCTATGGGAAATATCTGAATAATTCATTTCGTATCTCACCTTGAAAACTGTGTTTCTGAATAAAAGAGCACTTTAAAGAGATTCTCACAGATGCACACACAACAGGCACAGATGAACAGACACATTACTCATCACACAAACGCACACAGGCATCCACACACCTGCTTCCCACCGCGTCCCCCCTGACAGCACTGCAGACAAACTAACAGAGAGTGGAGGCAGATGAGCTGCTTTGACAGCCTCTGAATAAGACAGACATGGAGGGGCGCAGGCTTGTCACTATCAAACTGTCTCTACCGAGACGAGACAGGCCGTCCGCACGGCTCCGTCTGAGCAGATTAGCACAGGCCATCATCACATTTCATTTCACCACCACGAGTGCAATTGGCCGTTTTGAAGCGAACACCATGTCTGTGGTTAGTTCTCACGGCGAGGGCTTTCACGACGGCCTTGACAGTCGAGTTGAATTGCATTTTAATTGGTATCTTCTAATGAGGAACTTTAATTGGATAGATTTTCAATACAAAAAAAAAAAATCAGAATATTCTGTAGTGTGTTAAATTATTTTTTGTAATAAATGTCTTAAAAAAAGTGAGATAAAATAAGGTCTTATGATCGTATTTTTTTCTTAACCTTACTTCAAATCAGACAACGTTATAGCTTTAGATTTCTATCAAATTGCTCGTTCGAACCAGCTCGTCATCCAGTTCCACATCATGGCAAATGTAATTATCTGTCGTGACACTAATAGCCTTAGAGTAATAACAACGCAGTGTGCGCTATGTGCTTAGCATATATCGTATATGAGTATTTATATTTATGGAGTACATACGAAATGTTCTGCCTAATTCGTTCATTAACACTCGACGTGATCACGCATCATAATATATGCTAATAAAACCTGAAAACACTAACAATTAAAGATGAATACACACAGTTCTACTAGTAATCGTAGCTCATATAATCATACATGTTCAACCACGACTGTGTGTGAAAATTGTGTGTGAAATTTCAGTTACCAAAAAATAATGAGTCTGGTTTGTTTCATTAAAACCTGACTTGTGCAGAGAGGTGCTGTGGCCTGGTTAGCGCCACCTGCTGCACCAGTGCTGTGCTGCCTGCTCTCTATGTGCACTAACTAAGTCGAACCATTCATTGTGTGCCATCATGTTATCAGTCTCATTCCATGTTCACCTGTTGGTAATGACAGTGTGTGGTAAGATGGTGCGACCATGGGAGTAAAGTATTTTGTGTTATCCTGTGTGAAATCATTAGCCTCATAGCATAATATGCTAATAAAAGTCATGTTTTTAGGATCTTTAGAAAAAAAATTGTTTGCCAATATGTTTTATTTAAACAGCAGTAAATGTCTTTAAAAAGCACAGTCAATCAGTAACTCAATTTGACAAATTAACACATCATGTTATCAGGCAACAATATTATTTTTTATTATTTTATTTCTGTCAACCTCACCTTTATACTATATATATATATTTTTTTTTTTCTCCTACAATCCACTCCCCACAGTGTGACCTACGTTCCAGCCCATCAGGTGGACGAACACCGTGCTCGCCTGTGTTTGCCCCCGCTGGCCTCGATTACATCAGACAGTGCCTCTCCCTCGCCCACGCCCCCAGTACCTTCTCCAGAACCCAAACTGGCTCGAGACAGATCCCCGAGTCCACATAAAACTAGACCTTCAGATTCACACCTCGGCCTCAAACCGCCCACCAAGGCCCACTGCAGTGCAGCTCCGGATCCATCCTCGGTGAAGATGTCTGCTCCAGTGAAAGGCCCGGCCGTTGTCCCCACCATCACCCCTGCTCCAGACTCAAGGTAATGTAAGATCCAGAAGTTTCAGCCCTTTATTTATGATCATCTGATCCCCACTCAGGCCCCAGAGTGCACGATAAACCTGACTGTGGGGGTTATTAGACTTCAAGGTTTCAGCTTTATTACATGTTGATGCGTCTGCTGCTGAGAATTCACATTGTTTCGCAATTTAAGTCTTAACCTTAGGCTTTGGATTTTTATAACAGCCAGACTTTTATGACTGGAACAACACATAATGGCCACTTAAGTCATACCAACGATCCGAGTTATTTAGTGACACCTTAATTAACTGTATCTACAGCTAAACAATGTGCTGGTGAATCTGCAGCAACCTCGGCACGAGTCCCTGCTACTCCCTATTTTCTCCCCTCCATTCTTCACTGTGTAAAGGCAGGAGCTTCTCAGAGTGTTGAATCCGTGAGTTATATTTAGCTGTTTCGCTTATGGATCTCACTGCTGACTGTCAGCGAAAATAAATTGTTACGCTTCTGTCTATCCCTGCTTTTGCTCCATCTTCATATGCCCGGCTTTATCCTCTCTCCCTTCCTCCCCCTCTCTTTCTCTCTCTCTCGCTCTACAATTTTCCTGTGCAGCCCTTTCTTACTCACGCTTATCTTTCAATACATTTTCAATGTCTTCCCGTGCAAGAATTCTCGCCTGACGCTTTGGGTCTAAGTCTGTCTCCCACCCCTCCCCCCCTCAGTCATCTCACTCTGGTCATTTTCTCTTTACCTCACGTTCCCTATCCTGGATTCCTGGGCCCTGACCCTGTATTGTGACGGCTCTTTTCCAGGACTGGTGGAACCATTTGTTCTGTCCTCCTGCTATAGGCTCCTGCTACACAGATAGCACCACTATCAGTCACCCCCATGGCCTTAATACAGCTTCTTACTGTAAATACATTCATGATGGATTTGCTCCTGTTCTAACACCCACACTACACAGATATATTTAAATACATATACTGTACACTGTGTACAGTACAGATACTACACGCACCGTATATTAATTAGGTAAGTTTGACATTTTCGCACATTTTGAAGTGTTTGTACGTCTGTTCGCCCAGACCAGCATTTCTGAAGTCAGACACTATGCATGCCTCACAGCTTTCTTCCATACAAAATCACCTTAGCATGCTTTAATAGACCCAGCTTTGTGCACTGGGGCACAGTCATGCTGTAACAAAACAGGGCCTTCTCCAGACTGTCCCCTAAGGCATAGAACTGTCCAGAACGTCTCAGCAAGTTAAGCGAAATAAGTTTCCTTTACTGGAAATAAAAGGTCTGGGCCAAATCAGAAAAACAGCCCCACATCATCACCTCAACCAAACTTTACAGTTGGTGCATTGCAGAGAGGCAGGCACCATTTGCCTTGCACTCACAACACCATGCTGTGTCCTTTGAAAGTTCAGGTGGGAAATCAGATATGTTAGCACACTATCCCCCACTCTAGTGATAGCATGCTGTACATTAACCACCACTGAGAGTTACTGAGTAGTGTATATGAGCCTCTGCCAAACAAAGTTGCCCCAAAGTTAATTTAACGAAATATAATGACCTCCTAGTTTTAAGAAAATCACATTCACTTCCTCAGTATTAAACCCTGGCCTATTTAGGTGAACATAAGTCTGATTTGCTTGCAGGAATTGAAGAAAGACACACTAAAAATTCAATTCAAAAATGTTTTAGCCATCTGCTGCCACCTTGTGTTTAATTGTTCTGCCTGCCACTTGCATTGGACATACAGTACAAAGACAAATTGCAATAGATAAATAAAAACAGTGAGAGTGTGCAGTGAGAGGTCACTGTGCTCGCGATTGTGTTTGGGATTCACTGAGATAAGGTGGACGTTACCATTCTGTCCATTTTTATGTCGAGAATGTGCACCTTTATATAAACAAGGCAGTACGTCCTTGTACGGTCCTCTGATGTGATGTAACTGACTATGGGCAGTATGTCACAGTGAACGATGCCGCAGCAGTATATGGTGACATGCTAATTAACTCTCAGATAGTAGGTTGCACTGAATGGTTGTTAGTTTTAACTTGATGAAAATTGTTGTGTTTAGAATAAGGGATGTCAATCCATTGTTGCTTCATCTATTGAGACAGTTTTGTCCAGTATGGCACAATGTTTGAGTTGTTGGGCCAGTAATGATGATCTCTGCACTAACATCTTTAAACTCATTATTACACACTCATTCCAGCCCGTTTCTACCTGAACTCCATTTGCTTTCAGCTGGCAGATTCCCAAGTCTCTCTCACACCAGAGTAAAAGAGAAGCAAAAGAAAAGGGAGAATCTCTGGAAGGGAAAAAGCAGGAGATTACCGCAGATGGAAAAGTACTAAAGCTGCAGGCGGAGATAAAACCTGATGGTAAAACCAAGGAAAATGAGGAGGGCCATTCTCACGCCTTTGTTTCCCGGGATCAACAGAGAAGGTTGGTTAATCGGGAATGTCAAATAACAATGTCTTTTCTCCTCATTTGATTGAATTCAAATTCAACACTTCTTTTTAAATCTCTCCCTATTATGTCTCTTATCCTCTGAAGCCGGTTTAGCAAAATTCTAATGTGCTCAGGTAATGTTCACAGCGCGGCTGGAACAGCAGAGCAAACACCCAGTTCATATTTTTCGACGACGGCAACTACGTTGTCAGTGTTTATTCATGGCATCGGCGACTGTATCCTGCTTGGATAAATAACTTAAGCTCCACTGTATGCCGGGACCTACTGTCTGGTGTCTCTACACGGCTGGTGTAATCTTCTATTGTATCTCTGAAACGCTACACACACACATAAAGAAGGGTGTAGGGAGGGGAAAAAAGTGTAATAAATGAATTCTCTATCACCTACATTTAAGCAGAAATCATTCAAACCCAAAAGATTCCCATTCTCCTCAGCCGCAGCCTCGGAATTCATCATCACTCTGTCTGTACTGTAAGAGTACGCAGCCCCACCGTTGGTGCGGATGTTCTTAGTCTCCGGCTTTGTGTTCCAGTGTTCAGCTGACGCGAGCACCAGGCCAGTCCCTGGGCATCAGCATAATGGGTGGCAGAGGTATGGGCCGGAGACTGAGCAGTGGAGGGATGATGAGGGGAGTCTTCATCAAGCACATCAGCCCTGACAGCCCAGCAGCACATAATGGCACCCTCCGGACTGGAGACAGGATACTAGAGGTGTGTGTTTGTGCCAGTGTGTGTGTTAGAGAGAGTGGGAGAAAGAAAGGAAAGCAGAAGGAGAGTGCGAAATAAGTCGAGTAAAGCAGGGACGAAATAATAAAATGTCAACATGATGTAGTAACATACACTATATATAAATATACCATTGTTGTCCTGTGTACTGTGTAGTATTCACATTTTTTCTGTCATGACGAAGACAAAGAATAATCTGAGTACGATGGATGGACAAAACATTTGAACCTGTCCAGTCCATCACAGACAGATGTGAGACTTCCTCTTTGTCTCCGTAAAACACGAGGGACAGATTTGCTGAAGTAATCCCAAAGCAGTGTTTGTCACAGCAGTAGCACAGCAGTTTATACTGAATTACTGCAGTAGAAGGTCACACACACACACACACACAAGCGCAGTTTCCCTCATGGCCTTTTTTCTTTACTCCTTGAAAATGTTAACAATTTATTTATATTTACATAATTTTAAGTAACAACAATTATGTAAATAAGAACATGGAGTCGTTATCTTTTGATATTATGTTGGATATATATGTATATATTATGTGTGTATGTACTGTATATACAGTATTTATTTATTTTGATATATATATATATATATGTTATTTAGATATATACTTAGTTAGATTTGAGCGTTGTGTTAGTTGTCTGATGTGTGTTGATCATTTACAGGTGTCTGGTGTGGACTTAACGGATGCCAGTCATGAGCAGGCGGTGGAGGCCATCCGCAGGGCTGGAGATACTGTGACGTTTGTACTCCAAACTGGACAATATCAAATCCAGGTACTACTTCTTTATAAAAAAAAAAGAAAAGAAAAAAATAATCAAATTATAAGAAGAGGGAAAAAGAACTCTAAGAATGAGCTAGCGATGTCGCTGCTACATCAACACCTCTGAGACTCCTGAGGCGTCACATGTTCTCACACTGGATTTCAGAGCTCGGCGTTTGCAAAAGCATTCAATGTTTGTTGTGAATCGGTTTTCAATCTGTATCCTTGCAACCTGAACCATATCTAATCCGTTTGTGACATGGATACAGCCTGTCGTGTGTTTGTAGATATTCATCTGCCTACTCTGCGTTTCTGTTTTTTTTTTTTTTTCTCCACAGTCTCCGCTTCTCACCAACCACGATACACACACTCCTACACCTCAGACCAACTCACACAGCAGTAAGGTAACACTTCTCTAATAGACTTACTTTAGCTTTGAACTGGAGGTATTTTTAGCTCCGCTCCTGTTAAAGAGAAAATGTGGACTGTGTATCATCCGGCAGACATCAAAAGGGCAGTTGCTAATTTTTTTGTGTGTGTTCTGAAGGTTGTGAGCACTGTCTCAGATTTAATTGGAACAAATGAAGTCGTTACCCACACAGCCACTTATGTTAAACTGTGCAGTGCTGCCTGTCTACAGAGCACAGGGTGTAATGTTTGCGGTGTTTCACAGACAGAGTGATGAGTCTTTAACACCTACTGGTCCTTTTAAAGTCTATTTTAGTACTAGTTTTTTTTTTTGTTTGCTGCTGTTACACATGGAACTGCTGTATATCTGTGTCTCCCATCGTGACTGTAGGAGGCACAGCCTGTCAGAGGTCTGTTCCATTGTCTCTTCCCTACAAACCCCTTCACTCCCACTCCCTTTAAGGTTGGTATAGTGTTGTTTGTGTTTGTGCTGTTAAGACTGTGCAGTATCTGCTTATAAAAGCCCTAGATTAGCATTAGAAATAAGCCACTCCTTCAAAAACATAATTATCAGGCATATTTGCAGAGAGAACTGCTGTAGTTCAAAGTCCCCGGCAGCTACCTTGTTTGTTTAGGCCTTTTGTTTTCCCTCTCCGTCTTCGTCTTTGATGGAGACGCACAACTCTCCAAATAGACGCCGCGTTCTTTTGAAGTTATCTCTTGCACGAGCGTCAAAGTTTGTAACAAAATAACGTACGATTGCGGTCAATCTTTCATGTTATTTTTAGCTGCCATTAAAGCTGCCTTCCTGAATTCATTCCGTTCATCAGTTTTTCTCGCCCGCTGCATCAAGCAGGATGAATAGGCCTCAGGGGTCGTCCCTCTCCTGCCTGAAGGACCCCCGAGGCATCTTCAACCCTACCTGTTCAATAATGCAAAACTTCTCTGCAGGTACCGTCGCCAGTGTTGGATAGAAAGGACCAGAGGAGGCCCACACGAGTCGCAGCGGCGGTCACAGCGGCTGAGGATGAGGAGGACACAGAAAGGCGTAAGTCTGCACCATAAAGATGTCACACAGACCTGCTCTGGAATCCTCCCAGGTCCTCGGTAGCAGAACAAGCCGGGTGATTTTATCACAGTAGCCACAGTTGTGCACTGCAGTACACACCATGCCCTCTGAGAAACTCAGAGCAATAAAAAGATAATTCTACGAGAGCCATCAGAGCAAATTATTTCCCTACTCTTCTGCAGCCAGGCTTTAATGTTCATGCGTTATTGGCCAAGAATGCAAATCAGGGGGGAAAAAAAAACATACGATCTGGGAGAGCAGATTGTATTTGTGTTAAGGTTTTTTGCAGAACAAAAAAACTGTTTTATGTATATTTTATTAACTCACCATACTCCACTTGATAATATCTGCAGAGGATATTTGCTGCTTCACAAAAACAACTGGAAACTTTATATAGTCCTCCAAAAAGTATGAATACTGCATTATTCCAGTTACTTGTGCTCCATCGAAGCCTCTTTCTAATAGCTTCTATTGTGTAAACTCCCTTAGAAAAGATGCTCCAGCGCTACGGCAGTCTGTCTGGAAGTCTCTATTTGTTTGAGCTGGAGAAGGATCCTGCTGCTTCCGGCCTGGGAATCACTCTCACAGGGAACAACGATGGCTCTAGGGCACGTACGAGTGTCTTTGTGGCAGATATAGACCCCCAGGGCCCTGCTGGGCTGGATGGAAGGATACGGATTGGAGACGAGCTGCTGGAGGTAGAGAAGAATGAATGCAGGCATGAAGGGAAGGACCGGGGAAGGTTGAAGTCCTACAGAGAGACAAAATGCCAGAGTCAGATGGAGAGCAGTAATGGAAGCAGGGGTTTGTGGGTAAAAAGAAGTGAGAAGAAAAAAGATGTGCGGAGGATTTATCAGACGAATTACCATTTAAAGAATGACATATACCAGGTTGAGCAACTAGGTGTTAGACTTGAGGAGGAAAATCGAGTCAAAGATTAAACTGGATTAACAGGGAAATGGCAGAGAGTAGACTAAAGCAGTGGTTTTCAAAGTGGGGGCTGTGCCCCCCAGGGGGACTACTACGGGACCTCTGAAAAGATAAGAAAGAAAAATAGAAAAAATAGAATTTATTATTATTATTTCAGTGTGAAAATAATCAAAGCTGAAAACACATTTGTTAATAATTTTCTCAGTGTGAAAATAATCAATGCTGAAAACACATTTGTTAATAATTTT